AAATTTCTCAGGTAAGAGGAAGTGGAATTTCGATAAACAGAATACCGGCAAAGGAAAAGGGAATAATGCACCAAAGAAAGGAAGAACAGATATAGCAGGAGTTAGTGGTGAAAGGTGTTGTCCTAAGTGCGATAGACCTCACAAAGGAGAATGTCTCTTGGGTAAAAATGTTTGTTTCAAGTGTGGGAAATCAGGACATTTCGTTAAAGAATGTCCTCAGAATCAGACACAGAAGGCTGGAGAGGACAAGAAAGAAAAAGCAAGAGTTTTCTCCTTGTCCAGGCAAGAAGCTGAACGAGACCCTAATGTCGTCTCTGTTTCCAATATTCCTGCATTTGTACTTATAGATTCTGGAGCTACACATTCGTTCATTTCTTCTTCTTTTGTTGTGAAGTCTAAAGTGGAATGTGAATTCCTTCCGTATACTTTAGAAATATCTCTTCCATCTAGAAAGATACTTGCCGCTAACCAAATAGCTAAAGATCTTAGGATGGAAATTGATGGTAGAGATATAGCGGTAGATCTAATTCCATTAACGATAAAAGACTTTGATGTTATCCTTAGTATGGACTGGTTGTCTAAAAACCATGCAACTATTTATTGTACTGAGAGAATGGTGGTCTTTTGAAGACCGGACGAGGAGGAGTTCCATTTTGTGGGAACTGAGGTAAATACCTCGTCTGGTGTAGGGTCAACAACCCAGGATGAGAGGATGCCGAGAAAGGAATTAGATCAAAGATTTCTAGTGTCGATGACCGATATTAAACAAGATAAGTTGTCAATTGAGGATGTTCCAATAGTTCGACACTATAAAGACGTTTTTCCAGAAGACCTTCTAGGTGTACCACCAGACAGACAAGTAGAGTTTACCATTGATTTGGTACCAGGAGCAACACCCATTTCAAAGGCTCCATATCGTATGGCTTCGTTGGAATTACAAGAGCTGAAGGTACAGTTGAAGGAGCTTCTTGATAAGGGTTTCATTAGACCAAGTGTATCACCATGGGGTGCACCTGTGTTATTTGTGAAAAAGAAGGATGGAACAATGAGGTTGTGCATTGATTATCGAGAACTGAATCGCCTCACTATCAAAAACAAGTACCCACTTCCAAGAATAGAAGATTTGTTTGACCAGCTTAAGGGGGCTACAGTATTTTCAAAGATCGATCTAAGATCAGGATATCACCATTTAAAGATTAAGTCAGAGAATGTCCCTAAGACGGCTTTTAGGACACGTTATGCTCACTATGAATTTCTGGTGATGCCATTTGGTTTAACTAATGCCCCGGCAGTGTTTATGGATCTAATGAACAGAGTATTCCATGAATACTTAGACCAATTTGTTATAGTTTTCATTGATGACATTTTAATCTATTCGAAGAATAAGGAGGAACATGAGAAACATCTTATGATTGTCTTAGAAACTCTAAGAAAAGAGAAACATTATGCCAAATTCAAGAAATGTGAATTCTGGTTGGATAAAATAGTTTTTCTGGGGCATGTAATCACAGCACGAGGAATTGAAGTAGATCCAACTAAAGTGGAAGCAGTAAATAATTGGGTAAGACCAACCAATGTTAGAGAGAATACGTAGTTTCTTGGGATTGGCTGGTTATTATAGAAGATTTATCGAGGGATTTTCTAAAATAGCAGGACCATTGACCCAATTGACTCGAAAAGGGATAAAATTTCAATGGACGGAGCAATGTGAACGAAGCTTCCAAGAGTTGAAACGAAGATTAGTCACAGCTCCAGTGTTAACAATACCTGACGGACCAGAAGGATTTGTCATATATAGTGATGCTTCGAAACAGGGCATAGGATGTGTTCTGATGCAAAAAGGAAAGGTGATAGCCTACGCTTCTAGACAATTGAAACAATATGAACAAAACTACCAAACCCATGATCTAGAATTGGCTACGGTAGTTCATGCCCTCAAAATATGGCGTCATTACTTGTATGGAAATAAGTGTGACATTTATACTGATCATAAGAGTTTGAAGTATTTCTTCACCCAAAAGGAATTAAATATGAGGCAGAGGAGATGGCTAGAGCTAGTAAAGGATTATGATTGTACTATCCATTACCATCCTTGTAAAGCTAATGTAGTAGCTGATGCTCTTAGCAGAAAGGCAGTGGGACAATTAGCAGTACAAATCACTATGCAGGATCAGTTGCTAAAGGATTTCGACAACTTACGTCTAGAAGTAATTGTTCCACCAACCAAAACTAGTACCAGGATAGCGGCTCTAACGATTTGACCAATGCTTAGAGATCGAATAAGAGCAGCACATGATAGTGACCCTTTCCTGCAAAAGATCAAATCCGAAGTTGGTACTAGCAAGCTAAAGGATTTTGAATTAGGTAGTGATAAAGCCTTACTCTTTAAAGGAAGGTTGTGTGTGCCGAAAGATGAGGGACTGCGGAAAGAAATTCTTGAAGAAGCACACTTAACTCCATATACTGCCCATCCAGGAGGAACAAAAATGTATCGTGATCTAAGGAGCATGTTTTGGTGGAGAAATATGAAACGGTGCATAGGTCTTTTTGTCAAGAGGTGCATGATTTGTCAACAAGTGAAAGCTGAACATCAAAGGCCATCTGGATTGTTGGAACCATTAACAATTCCACAATGGAAATGGGAACATATAACTATGGATTTTGTCATGGGTTTTCCAAAATCAGCTAAGGGAAATGATGCTATGTGGGTTATAGTGGATCGGTTAACAAAGTCAGTTCATTTTCTACCTGTAAGAATGAATTTTAGTATGGATCAATACGCACGATTATACATCAAAGAGGTCATCCGTTTGCATGGTAACCTAGCCTCAATTGTATCGGATAGAGATCCAAGATTTACCTCAAAATTTTGGAAAAGTTTGCAAGAGGCTATGGGAACCAAGTTAAACTTCAGCACAGCTTTCCATCCACAAACTGATGGACAATCGGAGAGGACTATATAGACTTTAGAAGATATGCTGCGTGCATGCGTCCTTAATTTAGGGGGCAGTTGGGAAAACTATGTACCACTGGTAGAGTTTGCCTATAATAATAACTACCAAGCTACGATAAAGATGGCACCTTACGAAGCTCTTTATGGCAGAAGATGTAGAGCTCCCCTTTATTGGGATGAAGTAGGTGAACGAAGAGTTCTGGGACCCGAAATAATTGAAGAAACTAGTTGAGCGGTTTATAAAATAAGAGCTAGAATCAAGGCAGCCCAGAACCGACAAAAGAGTTATGCCGATAAAAGGAGGAAAGATTTGACATTTAGGGGGGTGTCCTCAAATTAGAGTTTAATGGATTTTAAAATTTTGTGTAAATTGAGGTGTCCTCAACTCAGATTAAAATACAATTCATCAAAATTTAAGTGTCCTCAATTTAGATTTTTAGAAATACTTAAAAATTTAGGTGTCCTCAACTTAAATTTCAATAGTTTCTTAAGAAATTTAGGTATTCTCAATAACCATTTAATTTAGAAGAATTTCAATAATTTGATGGATTTGAATAGATTTTAAAAGATTTCAACCCATAAATATAAATACCCAAACCCTATAACAATTCTATACTCAAGACTCAAAATTTCAAGGATTCTCACGCCTCTCTGCTTCAAAGACTGTCATCCCATTCTCACGCCTTTCTCTACCATTAAAAGGTTCGCCTCTCTCTATCTCTGGCCTTTCTTTGCTGTGAAAGTTTACGTGAACAGGCTTCTCACTCACTGGCCTTTCTTTGCTGTGAAAATTTTCCTGTGTATGTATGCTATTTTATTAATTGATGATGATTTTTCGAAGTTTTTGTTGAGTAAGAACCCAAAATCTATAACACTATTTTTGTTGAATATTGGGTTTGATTAATTAGCTAGTGATATTTTTTTCCCCTTCAATCGGGTTGATAGACAATCAGTATCATTATGTAATCTGGCCCAAAATATGAAGGCAACTGAAGAGTTCCATTGGTATCAACCTATAGTATGAGTATTTTGTTGGTGTAATTATATTTATGCAGTTTGGAATGAAAACTTTTCTGTAGCAAGAGGTTCTCTATGACAATCAGATTTGTTGTTGGGAAACTCGTTTTAATGCAATTGGAGATTGGAACCTTTCTCCTTCTCATTAAATAAGTAAAAAAACATAACATAGCTCGTGGCAGTGTTGTGGAAACGTGGATCTTTTGACTGCACTGTCAAGCAAAAGGTGGTGAATACTCGAAGGTAGCGAAAGAAATTAAATACAACCCAATAGACTTTTGAGTTTCAAAAAATTGTTTTAGGTGTTTATCTATATAAGAATTTCATTCTTTGAATTCAATTTCATAAGAAGGTAGGAATAGAGAATGAGTACATATCCTTTCCCATGTTGAATGGAAGTGTTTCTTGAAGGGAGATATTTTTTTTTGATGATGCATGCATAATTCAGATTACTCAGATAGTCAGATGTTTGATATTACAGTGAGTTGTGAAGAAATAATTTCAATGGTTGATTAACTAATGACATAGAGTTGCTTAGGTATATGCTAGACAAAAATTGAGTAAAGGGCATATTTTATTTATCTAACATCTAAAGACGGTCAATTGAAGTCTTGCAGTCAGATTCTTGATTTCTAGTCGATAAGGCTTTACGTTTTTACACAAGGTGGACTCATTATCATGTCTTTGTGGGCTAAGTTTAATGTTATCCTTGATGTTGAAGATGTCAGAGTGCTGCTAATTCATTGATAAATTTGGAATAATTCCCCTTTTTATTTGCCAATTATTATGTCTTTGTTGAAATTTTCATCTAATTCTGAGCATGTTTTTGTGGTGGGACGAAATTGGTAACGCTCCCCAGTTGGATGCACTGCCAATTGAACAATTTTTAACAATCTTTTTTTTATGTTACATTATTCAAATGTTTGAAGGAATATATATATATATATATATATACACACACACACACACACACACACACACACACATACAGCTCATGAATTATGTAACGGACTATGTAGTGAGATCATAAATGGAAGAGTCGCAAGGAAAACGTAGAATTGGGTATAATGCATGGAGTGCGAAAGAAAGCTCTACATTGTTAGAACTTATGGTTGATGCCGCCAATCGTGGATGGTGTAATACCAATGGGGTTCTAAGTAAACAAGTGGTTGAGAAAAAAATACTTCCTGCTCTAAATGAAAAGCTTGGATGTCAGAAGAACTATGCTATGTACCAAAGTCGATTGAGTTGGTTCAAGCAACAATATCACAAATACTCTGAACTTATGCGGTATAGCTCTGGTTTTGGATGGGACCCAATCACAAAAAAGTTCACAGCTAGTGATGAAGTGTGGGATAATTACTTCGAGGTAAGTGTTCATACAATTTTTGGATTAGGATTAAATTATAATTCTTTAACAGTAAAGGGTGACTTATCAGTTTTTACTATATTTGTTCTTTGGCAGTCCCATCCAAAACAGAGGCACCTTCGTACCGATACCTTTCCTGACTATGAAGACTTAAGAATAGCAATTGGCAATGCTACTGCTACAGGGAGAAACTTAATTAGTCTGGGCGATGAATTAGATGCAAGAATATATGGTGTTGAAGAAAATAGGCATGTTACAATAGATGACTATGTGTTTGATGAGAGTCAAGAGGCATACGTACAAACTCAACAAGATCACTCAACCAATGCTCCATCATCTAATAGTTATATGTCTTTCCCATGTACTATGGAAACTAAAAAAGAATTGCCTGTAGAAAATATTGGCAATAGAAAGCGAACTAGAACTCAACACGAGAATTCTAGCTCATTTGATACCATGACCCGAGCTGATGTTCAAGAAAAGATTTATCTTGGCATGGATTCTATTACTGGAATTGCAACTAATATTCGGGAAATGTTTAAGTTGATGGGGAAAAGGGAAAGAGATAGAGAGAAAAAGGAAATGGCGGACAAGAACAATATCTGGGATGCTATTAAATAGATTCCTAATTTGGATAATCACACTTGCTACAAAGCACCTGCTTTTATTCATAAGTTTGGAATGAAAGATGCCTTTTTGAAAATGTCACATGAAGAGCGTTGGGAGTGGATAAAATATAACGTGGAATGAGTTTTTATTTGAGTAAATGTTTAATGTTTTGAATTTATTAGGATAATCTGATTTTTGAGTACTTTGTTGAAACTTTGATTTGGTTGTTAACTTTGCTTAAACTTTGGATAAAATACAATATGGAATGAGTTTTTATTTGAGTTACTTTGTTAAATTTTACTTCGAACATGTTAGGTATATGTTAATATCATAGTTGTTGATGTATATATTTTTGCAGTGTGAATTTCTAAATTTTAAGAAACTATGTATTTCTAGATGGAAGAAGAAATGGAAGAAAGAACGGGACAAGAAACTGAGGAAGAATTCGATGAAACTATCAAGTTTGTTTTAATGGCCCTTCAAGCAATACTTCAAGTATTAAAGGAGTTGATGATTATCATGTATGGTGAATATATAGAACGTCCACATCGGCGATCAATTACTACAGTTGGATATGATTATATTCATAAGGTATTGAAAGAAGATCCTGAAATCTTCAGACAAATACATAGGATGTATCCAAATGTGTTTTTAAAGCTTTGTAATATCATAAGAGAAAAAACGCCACTGCGGGATACTCGATATATATGTGTTGAAGAAATGCTTGCAGAAATGCTATTACAGTTGGTCAGAATTCTCGATATTGTCTCACTCGAAAGACCTTTGGTCGAGCACATTCCACATCTAGCAGAAATTTCAACAAAATTTTGAAGGCTTTAAACACAATTGCACCTGATATGATGGTCAAACCTGGACCTACAGTGCCAAGCAAAATAAGAGAAAGTACAAGATTTTATCCTTATTTTAAGGTAAATTATATTATATTGTTCATAACATTATTATTATTATAATAAATAAATCATTAAAATACTATGTTCATTTTAGGATTGTATTGGAGCTATTGATGGCACACACATACTAGCTATGATATCAGGGCATGACATGAACAACTATCGTAATCGTCATGGAACAATATCACAAAATGTATTGGCAGCTTGCAATTTTGATTTGGAATTCATTTACATCCTTAGTGGATGGGAAGGTTCAGCTCATGATTCCAAACTACTAAATGATGCATTAGTAAGAAGAAATGGACTTAAAATACCAAAGAGGTAATCAATTTTTTCTTGAATTGTTTATAAGTTATCTTTTTCGTGACATGAGATGATTTATGCATGAATTGTATACTTAGGTAAATATTTTCTTGTGGATTGTGGATTTCCAAATCGTTGTCAATTCTTAGCTCCATTTCGAGGTGTTCGGTATCATCTCAAGGATTTTGGTGGCCAGGGTCGTAATCCAGAAAATGCTAATGAATTATTCAATCTTCGTCATGCTAGCTTAAGAAATGTAATCAAGAGAATATTTGACATTTTCAAGTCACGATTCACAATTTTTAAATCAGCACCTCCATTTCCATTTAAAACACAAGCAGAGATGGTGTTAG